CTATGCCTTCCCATTCATGTACAGTATGTCTCACTCGTGCTGTACTGTACTCCCAAAACGATGCCTTTTTTGTTGTTCACTCTCTATCCGCTCCATCACTCTCTCCATCGCTCTCTCTTTGTTTTTTACTGAAAGAATTTGTGGTTTAAGTTATAGTTTTTAACTAACTTTTAGACCAATTGCCGACAATAGTGTTGTCTCATTAATCAGTTTTCTAGAGTTACTCCACTTTTGTATTATAAACTATTAATTTAATTCTCTTGTTCTAAGCATGTTTAAAATAATTATACAACAAAATTAGTGTATAATTAGTTTGATTATTTATTATTCTAAATATATTTAATTTTAATGCAAAATTTTAAATAACTTTGTTTGCAAATTGATTGCAATCTATTAACAATAATAATTTTAAAAAGTATGACATAGTTGGCAAATCATCAATTATATCCTAATTAAAATAATATCTATATTTTATATACATTTTATATTACTGTTAAATTTGTAACAATAATGTGTTTAACAACAAATAATATTAGTCTCATTGCATAATTGAATATAAGCTACAATTAGATAAAACATTGAACCTATTCAAAATGCATGTGTTATCATAAGTTTAATTAAATGCATTGATCACTAAAATGATGGCAAAATAAGTGATGAATACAATGTATTGTGCATTGAAATAGTGGAGCAATGGAGGGATAGCTAGGCGTATATGGGATTGACATGAATGGGAGGCAAAAACACAGCGAAAATAGGGATGTAGTCTATGGAGAGAGCGATGGAGAGAGTGATGGAGCGGATAGAGAGTGAACAACAAAAAAGGCATCGTTTTGGGAGTACAGTAGAGCACGAGTGAGACATACTGTACATGAATGGGAAGGCATAGGTTGTACTGTTAGGCACAGCCTGTGCTATAGTGTCATGCATTGCCAGCTGTCGGCCTAAGGCTATACACACACAGACTGGCAATGAGTTTGTTGTCATTCATATAACACTTGCCATCACTTCTTCATTACAATTATCACCATTTAATTCATACATTTAGCGCACATTTAGTCAACAATTGGTTACTATTTGTTGTTTATATTGAGTGTATATTTAGTGTAAATATCAATTATAGTTAATATAACAGTAAAAGTGTTATAAAAAGTGATAATCTCTTCAAATGTCTTCAATGGCTTTGGGAAAGAAACGTAGTCTTAATGTTGTCGACAATTGTGTCACCGATTATCACATCCAATGCCAGGAAAAGCCATTGAAATTAGTTAAACGCGAATACGATAGCGATTACAACGACTACACACCTCAAGACACCACATCCACACACGTGCACACCAGCAGACATCACCACAAACAGGTCCACCAACTAATGCCATGCCATCCATCGCTACCCTTATAATTAGCGCAATATTTACTGTTATTTGAAACATGAATACAATTATTGCAAATTGAATGCACTATTGAATTGAATGTCTTTGAATTGTTGTCTAATATTTTGATGAAATAATTGAATTGAAATTAATATTAATTGTTGTGATTTGTATGAACGGTGTGTTTAGGGCGGAGGCGTTGAGGAGGCGTCACAACTATTTTCTGGTGATCACAATAGTGTCATCCGAAAGGGTATCATAAATGGTATGTATCGATGGTTTGATCCGATTCTTGGCTTGATTTTAATGTTGATCTCATTTATTAGGTATAAAACCTCGAAACAGTGATAATCACAAAGAGATGGTAATAACAGGCGTGACATCACCGACGGATGTGTTTTGTTCAGTGCCGGGAAGGCTATCATTGCTCAGCTCGACCTCCAAATACAAAGTGACGGTCGGAGAGGTTCAGAGGCGACTATCGCCTCCTGAATGTCTTAACGCATCACTTCTAGGGGGTGTTCTTCGCAGGTATTATCTTGTTTTTGGTCTTTTTAATTACGGTATAATTTATTACTTATGTAACTCTTTTGCCTCTATTTATAACAATATCCATATTTTATTTAATAATTAAATGATTAGAAAGTATTTACAAATACAGTATAATATGTTTGCATAACTGATGACTCATCAGTGATGAGCGAAAGAGTAAAAAAAATAATGAAATTTTTTGTTATTAAAACAGAAGTTAGAATTGATTTATTCGTATTATAGGATAACAACAAATATGCCATCAAATTGTTTGCAATCTTAAGATGTAATTAACGATTTAGTTATTTTCTAATACTCAGAACATATAGCTCTCTCTCTCTCTCTCTCTCTCTCAGAGATCGGCCGCCGTTCTTCGATTTGGCCCTAAATTACACGCAAACATAGCTTTCATTAGTTTTCAATCTTATTTAGAGTCAAATTTATTCATTAAATAAATTAATTACATCTTAAGATTGCAAACAATTTGATGGCATATTTGTTGTTATCCTATAATACGAATAAATCAATTCTAACTTCTGTTTTAATAACAAAAAATTTCATTATTTTTTTTACTCTTTCTCTCTCTCTCTCTCTCTCTCTACATTTGTGTTAAATGCCTGAAGGATATCACGACTCAAACAACCATTTATTTAGTTTTTAAATTTGTTATCTTGTGCTTCACTGATGTCTCCACTTAAGCAACTCTTTCGCCAAAAATAGTATTTAAATTAAAGATTACTATCGATTCCCAAACCATAATATGATTTACTGTCCATTCAATAGTGCTTTGCATTTAGGATAAAACAAAATTTATTTATTTTAATAAATTGGATAATAATTTCGTTTCGCGCAAAATTTTTTTCTTTTTAATCGGTTGTAATAAAAATGCCTTTTATTTAATGAATAAATTTGACTCTAAATAAGATTGAAAACTAATGAAAGCTATGTTTGCGTGTAATTTAGGGCCAAATCGAAGAACGGCGGCCGATCTCTGAGGGAGAAGTTGGAAAAGATTGGACTCAATCTACCGGCCGGTCGTCGGAAAGCAGCAAACGTTACGTTATTAACCTCTTTAGTTGAAGGTATGTATTGTTCAATGAAATGCACTCTATTTTCCCTTTAAGAATATTAATATCCATTTTTGAATTATTATTTTTTGAAATTCAATTTACTTGAGAACTGTTTGTAGAGAAACAAATAGTGAGCCATCCTTTCATACAAAAAAGGCTCAAAACACAGAATTAATTACATTTTTCTGGTTTAGGCCGAAACTGACCCCCACTTACATATTATTATGAGTTTAAATTGTAATAAAATGATGTATTCTTTGTGTATTCATAAGGAGTTATAAAGCGAGCGTTTGTTTAGTTGTGTTCACTCTTTGGTATGGCCTCCCATAAGGGCCACCCATTCTCTCCGCTTCTCATCAATTATTATTAATAACAATATTTTCAAATTGAATTCATTTGTTGCCGTCGTTTGAAGCAATTACAAAGTGTTTGCTTTCATACACTTTTTGGGCTATGAATTACTGCGAGAATAACATTAATATCACACAAGAATAACATGAGATTTAATGAACTTTGAAATATAAGTCGAGAATTTTTGAGTTAAATATTTTTTTTATTATTAATAATTTTGTACGCAAAGGACAGGTATTTATTTTAATTAGCTTTAAATAGTGCTTTGGATTAAATTAACTTTTGATGTTTACCGCAATCCATTGCATGTATGCTATGGCTTATGGCTTCTGTATGTTAATTACATATACGAATAAATCTCTGCCAAAAGTGTATGCTCTAAATTATAGCCATTACTGACAGTGGCATTCGGTAGCACTCTTTCCTACGCCAACTAACCATCGTTTTTATTAACTATACATTTATATTACAGTATATTTTATTTTTATTAAAACTTTAATCAAATACAGTGTTTTAAAGCTATGAGTTCTGTGTTCTCCTTATAGCCCACGGCATTGTCATTGCATTTCATTGTAGACTATAATATGTGGTATAAATTACTTGCATAACGAACATCGTGTCAATTATTTACACAACCATTAAGATTACACTACTATTAATCATTTAAATAATATCTTTTATTTTTCTGATCCATAATAATGTTGTTATTATTGAGAGAACATAGTCTTAAGCCATTGACTACTTTGAGTGTCAATTGTTGTTCTGTATTACAACTTAAAACCCAAAAACAATTTCCTTATTTCCCTCTCAACTCATCCCTAATTATCATAAGAGATGCTAATAGTAGTGAACCGTTTAAATAATGTAAGTAATATAAGACACGGATTCTGGAAAAAACATTTTTGAAAATATCACTTGACGTTAGCGTTGCTGCAAATATGGAGCAAATGTCCTCCAAAATGCCAGACTTGTATAGTTTGCTATCTATGGCTATGAATGTTGATTTATGTGACGGACGAATCCCTGTCCACATGATGTAAACAGTGTGTTGAGTGTTGTCTCACTTCGGGTGATTGGCCTCTAGATCTTACCCGTAGGCAATGTATTGATGCGATGGACGAGTATTTTGACGATTCAGTACAGCATATACTGTAATATACTCTCGCCATTGAGCTCTGTGTTAAAGATGAGCTCTTTATACAATAATTAATAGCTTTGCGAAAAAACTGAACACCAGATCATTGGCCTCTTAGAGGATAGTAATATGTTTTTACATTTATAGACAAAGTTGTGTATTAGAGCTCAAAGCTGTCATTGAAACGAATACTAATTGTATATTAGTTCTCATTTTTGTACAACAATTATAGCCATTGAACTAAATATTAAAGATTTTTGTTTAAATCTCTTTTTAGGGGAAGCAATACATTTAGCCCGAGATTTCGGTTATGTATGTGAGACGGAATTCCCGGCCCGACAGATGGCCGAGTATTTATGTCGAAACCATTCCGACCCCTCAGACATGTACCGACGAAAAGAGCTGGTTTTGGCCACAAAGTAAGTGTCCATTCATTCACTCATTCATTTGCTTTAAATATGACATCATTTTCTTGGAAAAGACTTATAACACCATTACTTAAAGATATTTTATGTCTTGTTTTGCATCAGTTTTTTCTCTCCAATTGACGTCACATTTTATTTTTACATCTGATATCTTGTGATAACTTGTTTAACATTATATATTTGTTATAATTTTAATTCCGTTCATTCATTCAATACCTTAATATTTATGTCTTTAGTTTTTTATCTCAAGTCTCACTAAAAGTTATTTTCAAAAGTTTTTATTTATTCACTATTTTAGCGATTCATAGACTTGTAATTGAGGGGAACTAACGATGCATTCCTTACGTTCATTGAGTTCATTGTTTTACAATTTATAGATTTTATATTGGATTTATGTTTCCATATATTTATTTGAGTATTATATTAATCACTGATTTATTTTATTATTTTAACACAATTTTATTAGTATTTCAATGGAATATAAATTAAATCTTTAAAAAGTTCTCAGATTTATTAATTGCTGCTATTTTTAAACAGTTTTTAATATTGAAATTAATCTCGAATTTGTTTATTTGCAATTTATATCTCTTAAGGAGTGATTGATTTTATAATTTTATTCTTTTGATATTTTTAATTTTAAAAGATATTAGAAAATAATTATATATTTAAATAAATCATATGATTTAGAATGCAATGAAATATTTGTGAGAAATAGTTAAAAGCAAATGTATTATCGATTAACTAATTTGCAATCAATTATTTTATTTACACTGAGAATGGATACAAAAGTAATGCAATTATAAGCCTTTGATAGAAAGTAGAGATGCGATGATAAATAGGGAGCAATTCTAATGGATTTGTTGATGATTTGTGTTTTTAGGCAAATGCTGAAGGAGTTCATTGATTTGCTGAATCAGGATCGGTCTCCTCTGTGCAACACTCGGCCACAAATGATTTTAGAGCCCAATATTCAGAGAAATTTGACACATTTCTCACTCATTACACACGGATTTGGAAGTCCGGCGATTGTGGCTGCGCTGACATCAGTGCAGAACTACATGAATGAATCGCTCAAATACCTCGAAAAGCAATTAAGTACTTATCAAACGGCAAGCGGTGCTCACGTCTCAAATGCAACCAACGCTCAGATCGACACCAAAAAGGAGATCGATTTAGTCAATAAGAAGTAGACAACACTTATATACCACATCTCTCCTCTACCTGTGCACACCATTCACCGCATACCACACCACATACGACATACCTGTGCCACTATTACATCTATACATCCATACATTTAGGCAATATTTCACATACAATACATATATAAATATATTATTAAATAAATTAATGTTTATTTCATTGTTGACAACAAATTTGTTTGCTTTTATGTCAACACCTTTTTTGTCGAAATAACTACTGTTCGCTATAAATCACTCCTCTTTTTGTTTGGCCAAAACTCTTACATTTAATCGAAAGTTAAACCAAAGCTTCACTTTTATTAAGCCATAAAACGATTTTCTCGATTAGTTTTATTATAATATTATATTATATATTGTTTTTATTTTGAAAAAATGCATAAATAATTGATTATATGAAAGAAAGCTGCCGTTCAAGTAGTGGCCAAATATATGAAACTTTTTGCTGCATTTTTTGTATGTATTTTATTTTATAATTCAAAACAAAAACGACTCCTTTTATTGATTATAATTATTATTAATGTTTGATTCATGCGATTAATTATATATTGAGTTATTTTATTTTATTTGCTCTTTTTTGACGTAAAAATGAGGTATAAATGTACAGAAAAATTATAATAATAATTATGATTACCTTTTTATTGATATATTCGGTGCTTCGGATTTTTTGGTGACATATTTTATTCATTGAATTGAAATGAGTTTTTTAACAATAATTGAGAATATCTTCAGATTTATTGATTTAATGTCGAAACATATGAAAGCTTTCTTTCGTAACTCTAAGTTATATAACTGACTAAAACCAAGAGATTGTGAGACAGAAAATAGCATTAAATTTCGAAATTTATATAAATTATCCAAAAAAAAACTTGTAAAGAATGAAAAAACCAAATATATATAACAATACAATTGAATTTTAAAGGAGTGCTCAGAGTATCAGTAAAATTATAGTTTAAGTGTTCAAATTGTATCATAAAATAAAAGTAAACCCTTTATTAATAAAACAAATAATTTCTCATCAAATCATTAAATCTATAAAAACTCACAGTTTATCTCATTTTTTGTATAAATTTAATGTTCAAACAAATGGCAATATTTGTGACTGTTTTTCGATGTTTTTGAATGAAAATTAAATAAACAATACATTAATTAAAACAAAACTGTGGGCACAAAAACAAACACACAATTTAATAAAAACTAAACAAATAATATCACAGTTTTTGGGAATTTAATTTTTATTAAATTCTGTATTAAATCAAAAGCAAAACATTTTTATTTGTCTTTTTAAACAAAACAAACAAAAATAAATAAATATTACTCGAAATAATAGATAATAATTATAACTTATATATTATTTTTCGTTGTTTTGTAATTTGTTTTGTGTGAACCCTTTAGGAAACATTTGATTGAAATCAATAAAATATTAATCAATTCAATACATAATAATTGTCTATTCATTTTGCAATAAATGTTGTTTTCTTAGAAATGAAAATATAATTTGAAAAATCATTTTAAAATTGAGTCTCAATTTGTATAACGAGGAAAGAAAGACGAAATCATTATTGAGAAATAAATGGATTCAAAAAACAGATCTGTTTTGTAATTTATTCTTTACGTCTTATGTCAATAAGAATAGATGTTTTCAAAAAATGTAACATTAATTGAATATTAATTGAGTTTTAATACGAAATATTTAATGAGATGTCTATTGAGTTGAATAATAAATTATTTGATTGTGTCGTGCATTCAAATCCACTCGTTGTCGACAATCATTGACGGCATCGCTCCTGAAGAACATTGATTTTCATTGCATTGGATATTACGGTATATAAATGGACCATGGTTTAATATAGCATATCGTAATATTTATTGTATATATTTAAATTAGAAAACTGCTTTAATTTATATATAAATATAAAAATTAATTAAACACATCCACAACAGAATTCAATCCAATTTATTCAACTCAGGAATAATAGGAATAGATATGAATTTTAGTTAATATCAATACTTTAGTTGATAAGTAAAGTTTGAATTAGTTTCAAACAAAGTTAGTCACACAAAATTTATAGTTAATGTGATTGCAGTTAAAAAATATGAAATTAAAAATTAAATAGGACCCAAAAATGTTTGGCCTCCGATCGGCAACTTTTCTATAGTGAATGTATTGGTCACTATGTTTTGTCAATTGAGTCCTACATAGTTATGGAATAATACTGAAGTGAACATGTGAATTACCATGTACCATTTAATGTAGCATCATCTTAAATTATTATCACTATACTTATGAGTAAGGCTTCGAAATTTCGGGAATTCCGGAAGAAAAATAGTTAACAAAATCATCGGGAATTACATACCATTAGCTTTAGGGGTCTTAATAGACCTAAAATATATAAGTTTTATTTTCCCGATTTTTCCCGATTTTGGCAGTTTTTGAGAAAAATCCCAATTTTGGTATATTGTTAGGAAAATTCCCGAAAAGCCTTTATTTTATTTAAAATGGCACAGGAAATGCAGATTTTTCAAGATAAATATTTAAAAATATGGATTTTCAATCAAAATCTTAATGAATTTACTGACAGAGTACTAAAACTTGCTTCAAAGTTCACATAATTTGTGATAAATTTATTGTATACTATAGTTAAATAGATGCTTGTGAATATGATGTTCATCTACAATATAAAACATGAGATACAAATGGCATTATTTTGCTTCATTAGTGCATATAAACCTTTTTAAAATCACTTAAATATATAATTATTATGTGAAAACCCAATAAAAACGTAATTCCCGAATATTCCCGATTTTGGCTATGTATACTCCCGATTTTCTATTATTTTATTCCCGAAAAATCGAAGCTCTACTTATGAGATGTTTTCCTAAAACTAAATTACCCGGTGCTCACACATTCAAGTTATACTTGACATTTGTAAGCATTCAATTACACTGTATTTAATACAGATTCTGTATTACAGAAATACCATGAAAATTGGTGTTTCACACAAAATAAGGCCAATCACCAGTTTTGGAAGTTTTGTAAAGTTTTCATTACATTTATGTTAATTGAATACAATTAATGTTTTATTGTTTTAATGTCATAAATTCAATGTAAATGAATGGCAACTAATTTAATGGTAAATTAAGCCCTTATTTGTTAAATGTATTGAAATCACAATTTCTGATCCAATAGTGAAGTGAAGGCATCGATAGCTCACTCTCTCGTCATTCACACAAACTTTGGATTCAATTTCAAAACGTTTTTAAATATTTTCAAAACAAAATCACATTTCAATTGATTTCACAAATAATGGCAAAAATGAGTGATATTTTGAAACAGGATTTGTATGAACTCTTGTCCATCACATATGAAGCAACTGAACAGGAGGTATGTCTTAAGACCATCGGTGGTAACCATTGATAACACGTTTTGTTGCCATTTTGCAGATCAGGAGTTCGTACCGACGTCTGGCCCGCGAATGTCATCCCGACAAATGTCCGGACAATCCCGAAGCCGCCAAAAAACTTTGGGATCAATTGCAAGAAGCGTTGAAAGTGTTGACCGACGAGACGGCGAAGGTATGTATCAATTGAGTGACTATTTTCTGCACGTATTGTATGACTAATCGTATGATTAATAACTTTCAGAGCGCTTACGACCGGCTATTAAAGGCCCGAAAGGCTAACGCTTTGAGACACAAACAATTGGATCAAAAGCGACAGAAACTGAAGGATAAATTGGATGCGAGAGAGAAGTCGGCCAAAGAAGACGTGTTGTCCGAAGCGGAAGCCGTCGACCAATTGAAGCGAGAGATCGAAAGACTTCGCAAAGAGGGCTCAAAACAAGTGGAGACAGAGAATGAGATCTTAAAGCAACAAATAGAGGAAGAATTGAAGCAAAAGATTGAATCGGATTTAAAGAAGAGTCAACTCTTGCCTAAACTCAAGATAATTAGGAAATCAAAAGAATTTGAATTAAGTTCTGATAATTTAAGCGATTATTTGAGTAAATTTGGAGAAATAAATGGTTTGGTTTTGACGAAGAATAAGAAGAAAGCGTTGATTGAATTCAATGATTACAAACAAACGTTAAATGTTTTTGACAATCGACACCAATTCGAGCACTTGTTTACCATTGAATGGATTGGAGATAAACCCGATATCAATGAAAAGACCGCAGAAACGGTCGACATTTCAAATACAAACCATTTAAACGATATTAATATGAAACCAAATGAAGACTTTAGTAACGATTACGAGAGTATTGTATTGAGGAATATGAGGGCCGCAGAGGAAAGGAAACGATTGATTAAACAAATGCAAGAACAAGACTCACAGCAAGATTAATGCATATATTTTGTTATTGATTTTTAATTATCATTTGTAAATAAAACATTTCATCAATTTTCTTAATTCAAATTGTTATAAAATAATATTTTTAAAAAAGTTTTAATAAAGTGTTTATTTAGCATAAATATCGTTGAATTGGAAGCTCAATACGTGATGGCATTTATGTGGAAAAATGACATTATCTCTGAGATAATACTTCTCACGTCAAACGAGTCCCACATCCAGAGCACATGCGCTCTCCCCTAACCATCCGATATAATGCTCTAAATGCTATTCAATCGGTTTTATTTTCAATTTGTTTCAATTATGACAGTTTCGCCATTAAATTGATATTAAATTTAATTTATTTCCAAAAATTTCAAATAACAATCAACTGATCGGACAAATCAACGAACAAACAATATTACGATAAATATATTATTTATTGAATTATTTATTAATTTTGTTTTCTAGTTGTGTTTAAAATAAGAATTTATAATAAAATTAGTTAAATATGTCTTAAACTGAGATCATATGCCGTATGCTATAAACAGTGATGGAATTGTGTGTTTCCTGTGTTGCGATTATTACTGATTTTTATATATTGAAAACATATCATTCAAAATCCAACCATATTATAAAGAATGGCAAAACTCCTAATGAATGTTCATCATTCAAATCTCGTTATTTGTTTTACTTATATCTAATGAGAAGATTTATTTCATTCAATTAAAAATATAAACGTTATTTACAAAGAATATTATCAATATATCAATCGTTGAGACAATGAATGGCCTTAAATATATAGACAATATATGAATAGCCATACGTACTGTTCAATCGAGTGCTAATAAAAATTTTGGTTTTGAAACCAAGTCTTCCATAAAGAAAATATATATTTAAATGTGATATTTGTGTCGATTATCTTAAAGCTATCGCGTCTTCCATGAGATTCTACGGCTAAATATTATAAAAATACAAATCACATCGTCTTCCAGAAATTGTATATTTCAAAAGTTGTGATAATCTTAACCCTAAATATAAACAGCAATAAAAAGCAATTGCAAAGAATCGAAATATTCTTATAAATATAATTGTGAAGAAAAATTCAATTAGTGGTAATTTTGTGTTACTTTTTGTAGTTATATATTGTATTTAATTAGTAAAGAAAATCCAAAGAAGAAATGGAACAAAAATTAGGACAATTGATAGATGTTTGGCATACAATCCACGACAAAGTGCAGAGCCATTTGCCCGCGTCGTGCACTGAAGGGGGAGAGAAAGTGCAAATCAATAGACAGGGACACTCTCGAGGCGAGCATGAAATGGCATCCTTCAGAACTTTTGAGAGATCCGACGGTCAGACGGCACCGCCGGAGGGGTACGGAGAGTATAGCGAAATGGATGAATACGAGGGCAAAATGAATGGTATGGTTAACAACGAAGGAACCGCTGAATTCTGCGAAGGCGGCCAACCGGGAGTTATGATATCTGAATGGCAGGCCGGTTGGAATGTGACCAATGCTATACAAGTTAGTCTTTGTAACTATTGGTATCAATTATTTATCATGATTATTATTCTATAGGGTATGTTTATAGTGTCACTTCCATATGCAGTACTACACGGAGGTTATTGGGGTGTCGGCACACTTGTATTTGTGGCCTACATTTGCTGCTATACCGGGAAAATACTGGTCGACTGTCTGTACGAACAGAACGAAAGGGGAGAAGTGAAGAGAGTTAGAGACAGTTATGTGAGTATAGCTGAGGAGTGTATGGGACAGAAATACGGCGGAAAGATAGTGAACGGCGCGCAGATCATCGAACTCCTCATGACTTGCATCCTATATGTGGTTCTTTGCGGAGATCTACTGATCGGTTCGTTTCCCAACGGGACCATCGATCAGAGGTCATGGATGATGATCTGCACAATGCTTTTGCTTCCCTGCGCTTTCATTACTGACATCAGAGTTGTCTCTACTCTGAGGTATGCATTCATTAATGCATTCATTAATCCAAAACTTTTTGTTTTAAAAAAATTATTATTCCGCTCACAGTTTTTGGTGTACAATAACTCATATTATAATCAATATACTTGTATTTGGCTATTGTTTAACACAAATTGCTGACTGGCAGTGGTCTAAGGCATGTCATGACATAATATCCGCAAACATTGATTATTTCTAATTAAATTCTATTCAAAAATTAGGTCACATTTCGTTTGGATGTCCAGACTTTCCCAATTATGTTAGGAATTGTTGTATTTAGTTATACATCACAAATATTTTTGCCGGGACTGGAGGGCAGTATGAGAGACCGCTCCAGATTTGATTGTATGCTCGACTGGAGTCATATCGCGGCCGCGGCTTTCAAGGTGTGAATTTGTTTATATCAGACATACTTTCATTTTTAAAGACATTGATTGAATTGTTTTGTGTGTCTTTTCTTTAGGGACTTTTTGCTTACATAGGATTTATGACATTCGGAGACGAGACTCAAGAAGTTATAACAAACAATTTGCCGACAATGGGATTCAAGCATATCGTCAATTTGTCACTTGTTATTAAAGCCCTGCTTTCATATCCACTTCCGTATTACGCGGCCGCGGGTCTCATAGAATCGGCATTTTTTCGCGGAAAACCAACGGAACAGAGACCAGATGGCGAAGGAATACAGCCCTTCCCCACGTGTTGGGCCAGAGATAATGACCTTAGAGTCTGGGCAGTAGCTCTTCGTGTAGGTCTTGTGCTTTTTATTATGTTTATGGCCAGTAAGTGATCAACTCATGTGCACAATAAGTACAAAAAACTAATTAAAATATGATTCTGATAGTATCGATCCCTCACTTCGCGCTATTGATGGGACTGATAGGCAACTTCACGGGAACGATGCTGTCGTTTGTGTGGCCCTGTTTTTTCCATATGAAACTCAAGTGGAATACAATGGAATTTAATACAATTACTTGGGAAGTGTTCATCATATGTGTCGGTGTCTTCTGTGGCACAATAGGCATAATCACCAGTTTTTCGGCGTTGATAGACACCTATCATCTACCGCTGCCATATCCCGGTCCACATTCAGTTCAGGGATAGAATTTCAAATTCTCAATGCAATCAATAATTTATGTATTTATTTCCACAAAATTCTCACACAATTCTTCAAATAATTTAGAAAATGGATATTTCTCTTATTTTTCGGAATCATTTGTGTGTTTATAAAAACTAAAACGAAATTATTTTTAAGAATTTCTATTTAGAGATTGAAATATTAATTTTGGGTCAATTCTATACAATTAATTTCCAAGAATATTACCGTAATCTTGTCTTCCAATCAACATTTGTATCAGTTTTTAAAAAGCGCTTTCTTTAAGGTATACTCGCCTTAATATTGATATATGAATTTCATTAACTCTATTACTCTAATTATAATCATTTAATGAAAATATATATTCTATGGCATAGTATATCATATACATTGAAAATACCTATAATATACAGTATATTAAATATATATATTAGAAAATATTAATCTCATGGATGTGTTCACAAAATAAATACACATTCATTGCGTTGTTAGCAATCTTTCATTAATTTGGATTACAGTACACAACAGTATTTGTCATTAGATTTAACAACAATTAGCGTCAAATTCTTCAGACTTCACATAATTTATACAATGATTTATTTTCTAATAGGGATTTTATTTGAAACGTTTTCATATAAAACAGTTAAAAATTAAAAGTTTTTTAGTACAGGAATTCAATTACATTCCTAATACATGACAACAATTTCCATATGAAGTAACAAAACTATTATACAATTAATTGTGACCCAAATATTGTCACAACTAATAGTGTCTCAATATTGATGTCAATTTGTTATAATTGACATTCAAATAGTACATAATCAATTATTAGTATTATTATTAAATTATTAATTTATGTGATATTATTTCCAATTTCAAGAATTTTGAACAAAATCACAATTAAAGCATCTAACACTTTTAGTGAAATAAATTGTTGAATTGAGTCAAAGCCTATACCAAATAGTAGGTGTGAATAACTTATATTTTGTAATGGTATCAACCTTTGGGTGCAAACCTTCCATCCTTTGCATCCTTTGTTTTCTATTCCGTTTAGAATTAATTAATTACTCAAAGAATATTATAATTTATATTTTTTGTTATGACTTCAATAATGTTTTTGTTAAACATTTTAGTATAAACTTGTTTGGTATTAAAATTCTATGAAAATATAATATATATCTAATTAATAATGTTCTCATGAAAGTAAAACTCTATATGTCTTCCATTATACAAAACCTAATTGTTAAGAATGTATCAAATGTGCCGTATATTTGATTAAATAAAAGAAAATTTCAATATTACTATCACCACAAATGCGGTCGACGTGTTTCACGTCACTATACATATGAATAAATTCAGTAACAATAATGACATTAAAAACCAGTTGAGAATTTATTGTGAATTGTATTGTTTGCAAAACACTGTATTAATAGTTGATTGTAATGATTGTTATATAATAAATATTGAATATTACAATATATTTGGAGAATAGATTTTTTGATTTTTATTTCTTCGTATCAAATAGTGTCTAAATTATGTAATAAAATAATTAAACAGAAGTGAAAATTTCAAAACAATAATATTATATAAAAAAAACTTTGGTTAGAGTTTAGTGTGCATTGAATTCATAATAATATTATAGTTAAACTTATGTACAATACTTTTGTGTGCATTCATTTCGACACAATTTAAATAATAATTACAACAATTAATGGCACAAAAACTTAATATGAGTGTTGAGTTCCACTCAAATGAGTTGATCTTTTTGTTCACGAATTACATTTAAAATTATGAAATTTGATTACATATAAGTGATGGTCTGGTGTTCATCCAAGGACTCCATCGAAGAGCTCCGAACTTTCAAGTGATTAATTGCGGAAACAGATAATAAAACAGTAAAAACCTTTAAAAATAAAATAAAATTAGTTTTAAACTCAAGGGCGTTATAATTGTCTCCAAATGTGAGCTTTACTTGAAATAAGAGAAATCCGCCAAACGATGAAATCCATACCATTTTATGAGTGAATATCCAATCAACTAATTTATCTTTGCATCCAATCTATTAAAAAGACATTTATTTGAGTTAATTATCGGTTATTGTTAAGACATTTCTCAATCAATATGAATATAAATTATGCAAAAGACGGACTCGATTTGGTTCGCGAACGGGAGTTATCTGAGTGTCAGGTGAGGTTCCGTTTCGTATGTATTCAATGCGATAACAACTTTCGTCTATTGGGTCTAATTTGGAGGCGAATTCACTCAGGCCTGCGATTCCACAGCATTGGAACTTCAGTCAATAGAACAGACATTATATAAAGTGATATCAATATTGATGGATGTATTGAAAGCAAACCTGTTCTTGAATTACATTCCGAGTCCTTTGATTCACTTCATCCCATCCCTGCTCTACAATATCAGACACTTTGGTCTTTAGAATACTTAATGATATTATTCCTCCAATTTCTGCGGCGATTGTCATAACACAGAGGAATAAGAACTGACACCAAAAGAGATACAATTATTTTAAATTTTTTATTAGAATGACTAATATTGCAATTATGGGGAAAAAGAGGACATTAATATAATTTATACAAAAATCAAAATAAAACGATTGCTTATTATTGGAAATAAAAGAGTTAATCATTGCCCTAATTCTGAGACTATTAATGATAATCAAATATAAAGTTTAATTATAAGTTTTAAACTTTAAAAAGAAAGGAAACTTAAAAATTAATTATTTATAAATTAATCTTAAAATTTCAAAATTAATTATTTATAAATTAATCTTAAAATTTCAAAATTTTGAAATAAAATTCTGTTTTAGGCGTTAGTCATATAATAAAGACGAGTAATGAACCGCTTTTTAATAAAGAAATTTGTAATTACAATATATTATAATCATAAATAACAGTAATATTACCATTTTAAGCATACAGCCTCCTCGCTTGTATGAGCCCATCCACCCCAACAGGCCTTTCAAATTACATAACAAATCAATTATACTGTGCTTACGATTGTTGTTGAAAGTAAATATAGTTTTCATTATTTATTATACCATTGATAAAGAGTAGAGTTCCTAAACCAAGTCCGACATATGTTAACGGCTATACAAATGCGAGAAATTAATTAACAAAATTGAATTATAAAACTATTGAGATGTTTAGTAAAACAAAGTGTAAGACTCACTAAAGTGCCGCTAAATAGCCTCTTCATGTTAGTGGATGTGCCCAAAGCCCACAACGTATACGCGATTATAATACTGCCTGTGAGCTGATTACCAAATAAAATATATAAACTTATGGTAAGATTTGTTTTACTCTTACGACATATGTATTTCTTATGTGAAACAATGAAAGTCCTATTTATTTAAAATTTAAGTAAAATGTATGTAAAGACGAGCCCTCACTCACACAGTATTCCTCTATCTATCAAACCATTTATGAGAACAAAACTATTAAAGAGTCACAGAAATTGTGATATCGGTTATCATATATAATACGGTTCGTCACCGAAATGTCTCTGAATTGGATAATCGGGTCAAATATTTGGGAGATTTTTATTTATATAACCGGTGGACAACATTTACACTCTTTTTTATTACTCTTTTTTCCATATAATGAACTGTTTTCGTGGTCTATATTTATACACTAACTGTAAACTGTTATAAAAACTGATCCACAAGTTGTTTAATATGAAATATTTTGCCCGTAAATAAAAAATCACTGATATTTTTAAAGGAATAATTGCTATTCATTTAAGTCTAGACTCGAAACTACATAACATTACATTGTATTTCTTTGTTTCTTGTTTGTGACGGATATGTTGTTTGCGACCAAATATAAGAAATGCATTTATGAGGGAACCAAACATTGAATGGAAATAAATGCTAGAATCAATTCATTACCATTTCCTCATTGAATTCAATAAAGTGATTAAAAACTGTATGCAGTCTGTGGTACACATACAGTGGGGAACATACTGTACATACACTGTACGTATGTATACTTCACTCCCATAATAATAATACTGTATTTCGGTTCTAAAAATGTATGTGAAATCGGAAGTGATAGAAGTTTTTGAAGGATTTCCTAAACACTACACAATTCCTAACTTTCTTTTCGTTGCTTTTAATTTTAAAAACCAATATTTACTTTAAAAACATTTGATGTCTTATCTAATCATCACATCTGCATATAATAGGTTTTCAATTTTGCAAAAAGCACTCAATTTGGTAATATTTTTGGGTTTAAATATTAAAAATGCCAAATGAATAGAAAATATGGTTTTTGTCTACAGATATAGATATATACGCGTAAAACAAATAAACACATGGATTGGTATGGATTGAAGTGATAATACGGTTATTTATAGTGACCTTAACTTTGTGCCACAAATTCACTCAACTTTGAAAGGAAATCCAAATTTTAATTTTTGCCAAATCTTTTACAAATAACTCATTTTCTAATTTGATTTTAAAGTATATGCAATCGATTGTTAAAATTTAATTAAAGTTAGAAACAAATACAAAGGAAATCCAAATGTCACACAAGTTTTTGATTGAAATCGACAAATTAAAACCAGACGTTTAAAAGCACTTATCATGTGTTGACTATACTTGTCCTCAAATAACACCCGATATTAATATTTGACTAAACTTCTCAATATTTGGGATCAAAGTTTTAAAACTATTTTCAATGATATAAAATACTTTTTATTATTTATTATAAAATAATGATATGATATGTCATTATAGGGAATATAAACAACATATGCTTTAAATATAAATTATTAAAGTATTATTCATCAAACAATAACTTTTGGATACATTTTGCGAAATACAGTAATGTATTAAATATGTATTAAATATCAAATTACAGAGTATTGTAATTATTTGGATAATATTTAATTGAAATCTAAAACAATATGGTTTTCATTTGAATTCACTTTAGGATATGATTTGTTAAATATTTAACAGAAATATTTAAAAATTACAATATTTTGCTATACATTAACATTCAAAGTGTGTTTTAAAAGTTAGAAATTCAAACTATTGTATACCAGAATCCAAAGCATAAGGACTTATAGAGAGATAATTTGAATGAAGGAATTATTAGTGCATAAAATACTGTTCACTATATTATACACCACAACAAAAAAGGTGAACGTATTTTAACATAATTTTTATGAATTTAATTTTAAATCATTATTTTTCGTTGACTTTCGATAAATATATTGAAAATATTTAGACACAAAATGTCAATGAAATTGATTGAACATAAATGAAATGCATTAATACATACCCACGTGAAAAACGCTAACAAACAAACCAAATGTTTGACCAAACCTGCTATACATCCCATTATATCTATCGGTTGTGATATTTAAGCCAAAGAGTTGTTGTTTTTTGGGATTCAAATCACAATAAAATATTTGAAAAATCACTGAATTGTAAGTCAGACTCACAATAACTAGATTCACATAATTATTAAATAAAAAGTATAAACAAAAAGTGGCATAAAACCGATAGACAAGACAATATACAGTATTCAGTAGTGTATGAATTGAGCGTAAAGTTGATGTTATAAACAGAGAGAAAATGTTTGCCCAAACAATACACAAGTCGGGAGCAAAAGTCGAGCCAACAGTTTGGTAGCAGTGGTTAACACGAAATGTATGGAAACTTTTTTGTATGGCATTCACTGCCAGAAAGATATGTTGAATAGAAAACTGCTTTCTTTCTGACGGTTCGCTTCACTGGCTGTGGCTTTAGCTTTGCTTTCCATTCAATGGCATTTCACTCCTATTCAGCTCTCCTTTCAATTCACATTTTCTTTCTATTACTTTTCGAAAATGTATTCAAAAATTTAATTTATTTTTATTTTTAAAAATTATTTTCCCATCGATTATATCTAATATATTACAAAATAAATATTACCATTAAATAAATTATATTTAAGCATATATAATTTGTAGATATCTAAAAATTCATTTCAAAATAATTTCAAAAATTCAAAGTATTGTATTTGCATTTCAATAGTTATTGGTTTGTAAATTGTTTTTCTAAAATTCATTATTTCCCAATTTTCACATTAGTTCTAATGAGTTATTATTAGAAATTGTTGTTTAATTTTTATGGGAAACTTATTTTAGGATTATTGTTGTATTGTATGCTTCATATAGATGTATAGTTTATTGTTTAAAAAAAGTTAATGAGTGATTACTAATTAACAATCTAGTTAGTTAACAAAAACTTATCGGAAAATAAACATTGTAAACTGAAAATAATTATACGATTCACATCGAAATAGTTAGCAAAATAACGTTTAAATCAATCAAATGGTTAATCATATTACAACCGACAATTGAGTCCAATGTATCATTAATTCAATCGAAATATAATTATCATAAAAATTGGATTAAATAAAATTAAAACAAAAATTATTTCAAGACTAACACTAAGTATTCATATGAAGCCAAAGACCACTTAATAATACAGTTATCATTAGAATTATCACTAGTTTTCATGAGTTATTAATGGAGTACTAAATTAGGGAAAATGAAAACAAAACCAAATAAAGTTCAGGTTTTTGAAAAAGTTTCTATAAATAAATCACTAAATCTTTCTTAATTTAGCATATTTTTGAATTCATTGCAAAACATTGAAGTGAATCATAGATTACATTAATTATATAAGAATTTCAATCATGTTTTATAATAACAGTAAAGCAATACTTTATTGCAAACATTGTTTTATAATTATGAATAACTCATTGTTAACAATCAATAGGAATTTGTCTTTACTTACAATCACTTGAATATTGAATTGTTAATACGATTTATAACTTAAGACACCTAATAAATGCCAAGTATTGCTAAATACATTGTTATGACCCGTAATAAGTATGCTCTGAGTCTACTTTACATTCATCTCAACATTTTATTACATTGTTTCAAGCATTTTATAAGTTGATTAAACATTTTCCAAGAATGTAATCTAACAAAAGTTATTGAGTTGTTTTAAGAAATCATTACAGGTTAATAATAATTATTATACAAAATTTGCATAAATTATACAGTATTTATAGAAGTTGTATTTTATTTTTATTTAATTTCTTTTTACTGTACTTTTAGATATTTCTTTATATAAAATATGATTTTAATTACATTTATTAAATATTTATAATTGAACCCAAATAATAACGATTAAAGACTATTTAAAACCAACTTATATTACAAACGGCCAAAGATTTGATGCAAAATGAAACGATTGAAAGAAACAAATATAAGAATCACTTCATATAATGGCACTAAAAAAACATTTAAATATATTTTCTTAAATACGAAATATTTTTTATATACAATACATAAATATTATACATATATTTATTAAAAGTAATTAAAAGTAAAATATAAATCATTCGCATTTAACCCAATCTTTAATGTCCTCATCGCTGACTGGAATGTCAGTCTTCTCCCAATCATCGCTTCCAGTGTCTGACTTTTGGGCGTCACTCGAATCACCGCAAGATCTCACGTCTGAACACTCATTGCTGGCCATCGATTGTAACTCATCTCTCATTTGTTGCGATTCAAAGACAGAACTCTTTTCTTCTAAAAGCTTTATTTCAACAGATTTTTGATTTCGATTCAAATTAGTCTCCATTTCGGACACCGATTCGCACTTCAATTCATTCGCGTTGTCCTCAATCTTCTTGCGTTCGCTTTCTCTCAACTGATGGACTCTATAGTAAAATCGGTGCCAAAACTCCACGTCTGACAAAGAGTTGGGAACGAGTTGTGCGTAGAAGTCGCTCATCTG